TATGTATGTCAGTATATGTGCATATAAATGCTGGTGTCTGTGGAAACCAAATTCCCTGGAGCTGGGGTTCCAGGTAGCTGTGAACCACCTGATGTTGGTGCTAGACACTGGACTTAGATCTCTTGAAGAACATCAAGTGCTCTTAACCAGTCACTATTTCCTCATGTGGATTTTGTTTTTGAAACTGAGTCTTTCTATGTAGTCCTGACTGTCCTAAAACTCCTTATTAGACCAGGCTGGCCTTGAACTCACAGAGAACCTTCTGCCTCTCTCCGCTTCCCAAGTGCTGGGATTAAAGGCATGTGCCACTGTACCCAGTTTTTATTTATTTATTTATTTATTTATACCACTGCAATCAAGGTGCCTATACAGTATCATCCAGGTCTCAGAAGCTGGCCAGAAGCCATCTCTGCATCCATGTTTTATACTCTGATGATGAGACACTCTAATAATCAACAACAGCTAAAACATAACAGTATAACAATTGAGATATATCCTATGAAAGAGCTGCATAACAGAGATGAGTGTGACCTAGGGGTTTTTGTTGTTATTTTGTTTTTTGTCTTTTGAGGAGTAGGCAGGACAACCAGGATTTCCTTGACTTTCTTGGACGGCAAGTCAACGGCACATGTGGTTCCTTCTAACTATACCAGCCTCTCCACAACAGAACTCTCTTAAATTAATTCCTCGGGTCTCCATTTGAAAGAAGGATCCTTTCCAAAGCCACCACTGACTATCATACTCCATGATGCCACCATGTCTTTCTTAGCACATTTGAAGTATGCTAAACCTTCCACACCTAAAAACTACTCTATATTCACAAACATATAAAAAGGTAGAGACCACACCTATTTCACAATCTGTGATATTCCCAATGCAAACACAGTCAAATGGCAGAAACACTGTTAGATGAATGAAAGGTCAGGACTGTCTTAGGCCTTACGTATCAGCATTACAAGAGTTCTTGAAAGAAAACAACTCTCAGGCTCAACTCCAAACTTAATGAATCAAACTCTAGAGGCACGGAGCCCAACATACCCTTCCTGATTCACAGTAAACTCTGAGAATCGCTGCCTTAAATATCTCAAGTATCCAATGCATCATAACAAACTTTGGAAATATATACTACAAAGCTTTCTAATAACCATTCAATTATTTACTAAAAAATTATTAAACACACTGTGCAAGGAAAACAAAAAGTAGCCCCTACTAGTAATTTCCGGCTCCCAATAGGCCAGTACTTTCCTTCTTCACCCTCCCATACACTCTTACTGTGCATACATATTTGAATAAGCAAGAACAACACAAGTCAGTTGAACATGAAGTTTAAAGCACAATAAAGCTGGCTAGGCAGTTGTGGAACATGTTTTTAATCCCAGCGCTCAGGAGGCAGAGACAGGCAGATCTCTGTGAGTCTGACACCAACTTGGTCTACAGAGCGAGTTCCAGGACAGGCTTCAAAGCTAGAGAAACCCTGTCTCGAAAAACAAAACAAAACAACAAAAAAAACAATAACGCCCAAGTATCTGCTGTGGTTTGATTGTATTTCCCCCAAATGCCTATGATGAGTGTCTTACGATTCTAGCCTACAAGATGGTGCCTTCGGAAAGTGATTAGATCAGCTAGGCAGAACCCTCTGAATGAGACTAGTGCCCTTATTTAAAAGAAGCCCCAGGGAGCAGCCTTGCTTATCCAACAAGTACAGGGAAAACATGCGTCTATGAACCAGTGCAAAAACTCCCACTAGACATTGGGTATGGTGGTGCATGCCAGCACTCAGGTGCCTGTGGCAGGCAGACACCCTCCAGGTGGAAGCCAGCCAGAACTACATGGCAAGCCAGATAGCAAGGCTGCTCAAATAAGGATGCCGGGCAGTAGTGGTGTATGTCTTTAACCCCAGCAGAGGTAGGCGGATCACCGAGTTCGAAGCTAGCCTTGTAAACTGAGCTACTTCCAAGACAGCCAGGGCTACACAGAGAAATCTTGCCTCGAAAAAGTAAAATATACAAAACATATTTAACAAGGGGGGAGGAGTGGGATGCAACTCAGGATACAGCTCAGATGACAGAGTTCTTATCTGGCATGCACAAGGGTCTGGGTTCAACAAGGCTCGACACACACCTAAAATCTCAGCACCAGGGAAGCTGAGGCAGGTGGCTCAGGAGCTCAAGATTATCCTCCACTACACAGGGCCACACTGAGGCTTTGCTGTAGGGAGTGGTAAAAGAAAGGGCTGGGCAAATAGCAGTCGTATAAATGCTGTCCTGGAAAGGAGGACCTGAACTCAGATCCTCAGCACCCATATAAAAGCTGGGCATGGCAATGTGTGCCCGGAACCCTGGCACTGGGAGGCAGAGACAGGCACATCTCTGAAGCTCACTGACCAACCAGCCTAGACAAATGGACAAGCTTCAGTTTCAGTAAGGGATCCTGTCTCAAAAAATTAAATAAATAAGAGGATTAGGGAGATAGCTCACAGTGAAGAACACTTGTGGCGCACTCGGAAGGCAGAGGCAGGCGGATCTCTGGGAGTTCAAGGCCAGCCTGGTCTAGAAGAGCTAGTTCCAGGACAGGCTCCAAAGCTACACAGAAACCCTGTCTCGAAAAACCATAAAAAAAAAAAGAACACTTGTTGCTCTTTCAAAGAACCAGGGTTCAATTCATTTTTACAACCATGTATAATTTCAGTTCCAGGGGCTCTGACACCCTTTTCTGACCTCCAGGCACACAAGCAGTACAAATCATACACACAGGTATTTTGCATATTAAAAATCTCAAAGAAATTTTAATTAAAAAAAGCAACTCTGGCCTACACACACACACATACATTCATATATACATACGCATGTACATGAGCACTTACACACGCATGCACCCACACTATTCACATGTTAACACACACACACACACACAAAGAAAATACCTTTCAGACAACGAGTGTATTGGCACCTGTTCCTGGATATCCTATACTTCAAAACTCTTACATTTTTCTGTAAGTTTGCCAGCTGATATTTTGTTATAGCACCCTAAATGGACTAAGACAGGATCTTTCTCACCTCATTTCCTATACACATCCTCTCTCCTTCCTCCTTCCAGGCAGTAAACGGGAAACCCTTTACTACAAATCTTTTCTTTCTTTTTCCCCCAGAGACAGGATTTCTCTGTGTAGCCCAGGCAGGCCTTGAACTCACAGAGTTCTGCCTGCCTCTGCCTCCCGAGTGCTGGGACTAAATGCATGCTCCACCATACCTGGCTTTCACAACACATCTTAAATTTCGTTCATCCTTCTACTCAAATTTATAATGAAGCTTTCTCCTTCATTCCCAAATATTGCATATACATTCTATACATGTTTCAGGCCCAGCTCAAATGACTCTTTGGAAGGCCCACATTTCCAAAAGTCTAGCAGTCTGGTATCTTCTCCAGCAAAATGGCTCTTTGGTCTGTCACTATCACGACAGCCCACTATCTTCCTTTTCACACCGAAAGCAAGATGCTTCAGTCTGCTAGGTGCCTCCAATTTGGTGAGACTGTGCTTGTCAGCTGGGGAATAAGACCAATAATCGAATCATTCAAGTGTCTACCTAATCTGGGCCCTGGAAATAAAGGGAATTAAGTAAGGCACAGTTGTTTCCGAAATCTAGATTCTACGGGAAGGAACAGATTAGCACACAATGACAGCAATGTCACTGGAGAATGACAACGTATGAATGGCAGTCAAGGGAGCTAGGGAATGTTTATAATGTTTATAGGTTAAACGACCAGACAGTAAATTACTTCCCTAAAAATTAGATGGAGAAATAAAGAAACGAGGAAACTATGATTAGCCTGAATCCTTTTCAGTAGAATGTATTATTCCTTTGACTAGAAGGTAGATCAAAATTTAGCTTACTGTATATGACAGAACAATGTTTTCAATATATATACTGTAAAACACAGGTAACTCAACTCACAAAGGGCTGTAGCCACAGCCATTTTGAAGCAGAAGGAAAATGTGCAAAGGAAAGGTCCCTCCAAGAAAGGGCGGAAAGGGCAAAACAAACAAACGCACCTTTAGAAAAGGAATTCAGAAGACTGTCAGTCTGACTGCCAAGGTGATGTTCAGACCTCAAACGCCCTTGGTCTCTGCCTCCCAACAAAAACATATCATTTGTTCTGAGCAATAACTGTCATGTTTGCAAATTTAAAAAGGCTTTTAAATTCCGGAACTGTAACTCCACATGCAAACACACTTGAGACAAAAATTTTCAAAACCTTTTTAGATACATCTGTCAAAAGGCCAGATGATCACATACGGACACAATATGTTCTCTGTAACACACTATCACTCAATTTTTTGCAATGACACTGGGTAGTAAAGCTTCCAGACTATTTCTCCATACCTCCCATCTCCCCCCTTCCGCCCTCCAAAACAGAAAAGGGAAAGGCAGGCTTCGAATCTGTACGTGCCCGCCCAACTGCTCCCGGGAAGCAATCGCCTTCAAATTGTTCCTGCTTAGCCCCCTGAAGTCTGAAGAAGGAAAAAGGGACAGATGTGCGAGCCGGCGACAGGGGACATCCGACAAGGGGCAGAGGAAATGCGGATGGTCGAGGACCAAGGGGAAGAGGGGGCGGCGGAGATAAAATGGTGAAGGGGGAAGGGGGACAAGGAGGGAAAGCAAGCAAATGCGGGAACGAAAAACAGGGAGAAAAGGGGGGGAGCTAACGATTACAGAGGAGAAAGGGAGAATGGTTGAGGAGAAAAGGGAAGGGTTAAGGACGGGGGTTGGGGGGGAATGGAGAACGCGAAGGAGGCTGTCACGGGGGCACAAAAGGGTGTCACCGGAGAGGAGGGAGATTAAAGGATGTCCCCTAAAGGGATTCGCTCCTGCAGGACGGGGAACGACGGGCCGGAGAAGGCGGAGACCGGGGGTGCGGGAAGAAGGGTAAGGAGGCTAGGCTGCCCGGTGTCCTCGGGCCACCCGGGGATTGTGGGGGGTAGGCAGGCCGCGCTAGCTCACCATGGCTGCGTGGGCCTGGTCCTCCGGCATGCAGTCTCGGTCCTGCGTGCGGCGGCGGGCCGAGCCCGAGCCCACCCCTAAGATCAGCCGGCGAGGGGGCTCCAGGAGGCTCGGGTCGGGCAGCGGCTCCGGGCTGGGCCCAGGCCTCGGCCTCGCTCCTCTGAAGTACACCACTCCAGCCGCAGCCGCAGCCGCAGCCTGACCGAAACACAGACTCCGCCTCGCTCGCCGTGCCCGCCGCGCCCCGCCCCCACGAGGACCCGCCCCTCTCCCCGTGCCCACCCCGCCCCAAAGGACCCGCCCCTCTCCCCGTGCCCGCCCCACCCCCTAGAGGACCCGCCCCTCTTCCCGTGCCCGCCGCGCCCCGCCCCACGAGGTTCCGCCCCCGTTCGTCCCGCCCCCTCGAGACTCCGCCCCGTCCCAGCAAAGACTCCCTTCTCAAAGCGTTGACTCCTTTAAAGCTTTTCTCACAGGAAGAGCTTTAAACCCGGAGACTGCAGTGCTGGCCCATAGCTCACGCTCATTTTTTAAATTTAGCTTCTGATTCCCGGTCATTAATTATCGTTGTCATCGTTCTTGGTGATTTCAGCGTTCTGTTACATGATTTTATTTTGCTTTGTTGTTTGCTTTGCTTTGTTTGTTTTCTGAGAGGGCTTCTCTCTACATAGCCTGGCTGTCCTGAAATTCATTATGAAGACCAGTCTGGCCTGGGACTCACAGAGATCCTCCTGACTCTGCCTCCTGAATGCTGGGATTAAAGACCATACCCCACCACACTCAGTGAATGATTTTTTTTTCCCAAATACATTTTTTCTTTTTTTGAGACAAGCTATGTACCCCTGGCTGGCCTAGAACTCATCTTGTAGACAAGGCTAGCCCAGAACTTTAGAGAGATTCACCTGCCTCTGCCTCCTGAGTGCTGGGATTAAAGGTATGCACCACCACTGCCCAGCTCAAATACTTATAAAAGAAATTATAGTTATTTGTTCTGTGTGTATTTGGGTGTGTATGGGACATGAGTACCTCTAGATGTCAGAAGACTTCCAGTTGAGCGAGTTGGTTCTTTTCCACCGTGTTGGTCTTGAGAATTGAACTCAGATAATCATTTTCGGAGGCAACCACTACATCATCTGACCAGTCCTAAGTCATGTAGTATTTTTAAATTTTATTTTATGAGTATGGGTGTTTTGCCTGCATATATATCTGCATGCCACTTGTGGGTTGGTGCCCATTAGGCCAGAAAAGGGAAGCAGAGCCCTGAAGCTACAGCTGCATAATCATGAGCTGCCGTGTGGGAACGGGAATCGCACCATTGTCTCTGGAAGAGCAGCCAGTGCTCTTCGTGGCTGAACTCTCTCTCCAACCAAAGATGTTGGATTTTTGTGGTGCTCTGGCCTTTCTGGCTCCTCTACTCTGGGGATCACCCTTGTTCCTGCCTCTCATTGCCACATTTCTTACTACCAATGACTGTGATCTCTCGAAAAGCCCATTAAATATTTTTTATTTATGTATGCATTTATTGTGATGCTGAGGATGAGCCTAGGGCCTCTAAAATACCAGACAAGTGCTCTTTCTGCCTGAGTCCCATCCTCTGACCCCACAATCTCAGTTTTGACTGCCTTCTCCTCCTTAGCCTCCTGTCTTTCTAGCTCACTCTCCAATACTCCAACTATCAACTCGTTCAGGACCCGAAAGCCACTGGCCCACTTCTTTATTATTTCCTCGCACTGCTTTCAGTATCTTGTTTCAAAAATTCATTTAGTGTCTGTTGCCTATGATGAAAATCGTGGGCAGCATTCCCTTTCTTTCTGCATCCCTTCTCTCTCCTTTATACTATCGAAAAGCTCCAGGCACTGCAAGATGGCTCACAGTTAAGACCACTGACTGCTCTTTCCGAGGACCTGGCTTCAGTTCTTAGCGCCCGCGTGGCAGCTCACTACCAGGGATAACTACAGTTCCAGGGGATCTGATACCCTCTTCTGGCCTCTGAGGGCACCAGGCACACACCTGGTACATACATATATATGCAGGCAAAATACCCATGCACACATAGAAGAAATAATGATATTTTTTAACTTGTCAGTGGTGGCATAAACCTTTAATCCCAGTCCTCAGGACGCAGATCTCTGTGAGTTCAAGATCTCTCACTACTGATCTACAGAGCTAGTTCCAGGACAGCCAGGACTAAACAGAGAAACCCTGCCTCAAAAAACAAACACAGAACAAAACAAAAGATCCTGTATCCAACTAAAAATTTATAAAAAAGGACTTGGGGGGGCTGGAGAGATGGCTCAGTGGTTAAGAGCATTGCCTGCTCCTCCAAAGGTCCTGAGTTCAATTCCCAGCAACCACATGGTGGCTCACAACCATCTATAATGAGATCTGGTGCCCTCTTCTAGCATACAAACATACATGGAAAGAATGTTGTATACATAATAAATAAATAAATCTTTAAAAAAAAAAGGACTTGGGGTGTAACTCCAGTTTTTTTCTTCAGGGTAGACCTATATTTTTGTAAAATAGAATAAAAAGAAATTGTCAGAAAAATAATTTGGGGTTTTGTTATTGAGATAGGGTTTCTCTGTGTGTAGCTCTGACTGTCCTGGAACTCGTTCTGTAGACCAGGCTGGCCTCAAACTCACAGAGATCTGCCCTCCTCTGCCTCCTGAGTGCTGGGATTAAAGGCATGTGCCACCATCGCCCGGTTTATTATTTTTAAAAATACAAAGTAAATAAATAAAAAACCTCACTGCCTAGGATGTTGCTACCATGCAGAGTTCCACCACACACATACACTACCCAGTTAGAAAAATAAAAATTTAAAAACAGGTAAACTGACTGGAGAGAGGCTTAGTGATTGTGATTGCTCTTTCAGAGGCTCCGAGTACAACTCCCAACACACATAACAGCTCACAACTGTCTGTAATTCCAGTTCCAGGGTATCTGACACCCTTACACAGACATACATGTAGCCAAAACATCAACGGATGTAAAATAAACATAAATTTAAAAAAATAATAAAACAAAAACAGGGATACCAAGTATAAACT